AGGCTTTTTGTTTGTTTGTGTAAGGTTTCATCTGTGGGAGTGGGTCAATCAATAAGTGTTTATTAAGTGCTTGCTATATGCCAGGCTCTGTGCTAAATGCTGGGGAGACAAAGAAAGGCAAAAGACAGTCTCTGCCCTTGAAGAGTTCCATCTAAATCAGTTCACCAAACATTCACTTAAGTGCTTATTATGTTCCAGAGGCAGCTAGGTGGTGCCATAGTGGATAAAGCGCTTAGCCTGGAGTCAGGAAGACTCATCTTCCTGAGTTCAAATCCAGCCTCAGACACTTACTAGCTGTGTGACCCTGGGCAAGTCATTTAACCCTGTTGCCTCAGTTTCCTCATTTGTAAAGTGAGCTGGAGAAGAAATGCTAAAAAAGCCTCCCAAAAAGGATCATGAAGAGTTGGACATGACTGAAAACAAATGAAATTAATGTGCCAATGTGTAAATGCCTTCCACTATGCAGATCAGCAATGCAATCTTTAATTTTTAGTCTGAGAATTTAAATAGCTTGTCCATGGTCACACATTTCAGAGGCAGGACTTGAACCCAGGACTTCCGGACTTAAAGTCAGCCTTTTATCAGCTACTCCATTGCTGCTTCTCTTAGCTATACTAACAGGTCACAATGTTTATTTGTCCCATAAATAAAACATTAGGTTAGGAACAGATGGTCAACTCCGTAAGAATCTATAAATATGTAGCTCCCTGTCAATATTAGCCAATTTTCAGAATTTAGCTGTAACATATATAAGCTTGGCAAATCAAAACATCCCCAGTGACACTGCTGCTGATTCTACCGAAGCAAATAACTTGAAATAGGAAAATGGGCTCAGTGATTTTGGGGCAGGGCCAGGAAGCCAGCAAGGGAATTTTGATATTGCCATGGTCATGGTGGGAAGGGTCATGGAGGAGTTCCCAAAAGTGTAGTTCATTTAGACTTTACAAAACAGACTAGGTAAGAACAGATGGGAGACAAAATACTTTCCAGACTCTTTATCTGAGAGATATTTGATAACCTCCAGTAACGTACTTTGCTTAATTGTAAACTCATATTTCACTTTACATGCAACTTAAAGTCGGAAATGTGAACTATCTCAGGAGATACAAAATATGCAAAGGAACTGGGCAAGAGTTACATGTTGATGTTTCATATTAATTTTGAAGGAGAGCCTAATTTTGTTATCACGTGCCACCCTTGTAATATGGGCAGCTTGTGTGACAAGGGTGTTCTACATTTTATTTGGTCTTGCAAAATGATCTTATCCTTAAAGCAAAAGTGATCAAAAGAGGTTGTGAATGAAGTTACATATTAGAGCAAAGGATTAGGAGAACAGATTTAGATCTGGAAGGGGTCTCTAGTCCAACTCCTTCATCTCACAGATGGGGAAACTGAGGACCAGAATGACTTGCCCAAAGTCACACAGCTAGGAAGCATCTCAAGCTACTTGTTACAGCTAATTAACCAAAAGCTTAGAAAATCATTGAAGAGTTGATGCAACCCTTGCCATAGGATTTCTAATTTCCAAATGACTTAGTGGGAAGGGAAAATCAGCACCAATTTCCTAAAAGAGGAAGAAAATCCACTCAAGTGGTAGTCTAGCTTCATCTTCTGACTCAGAGTTGGCTCAAAGGGCTGCAATTAATGGGAAATAGGAAGAAAATTCTAGGAAGAGCAAATCCTCTACTTTTTTTCCTAATGGCGTCACATGATGTGGATGTGGCTGTGATATATGGAGAGATTCCTCATTGGGCTCTGAATCACAGAATCAGAACTGGAAGGGACCTTGGAAATTGGCTAGTTCTACCTACTCCTGAATAAGTACACTCTACAACAGACCCAACTAGTGGTCATCTGACCTTTATTTGAAGACCTTCAATGAGGGGAAAGCCACAATTTCCAGAGGCAGCCCATTCAACTTCTTAATAGCTTTCATTGTTGGGATTTTTTATTTCTTGTACTGAGCCTAAATTTGCACATTTACAACTTCTACCAATGGCTCTCAGTTCGGCCCTCTGGGGCCAAGAAAAGTATGTCTTATACCTCTTTCCCAAGACAGCCCTTTTTAATACTTAAATATTTTTTTTTCTTTTAGTGAGGCAAGGTCACACAGCTAGTACGAGTCAAGTGTTTGGTCTGAGGCCGGATTTGAACTCAGGTCCTCCTGTCTTCAGGGCCGGTGCTCTATCCACTGTGCCACTTAGCTGCCCCTAATTGGCTTTTTTTTTTCTTTTAGAATATTTAAATATTTTAAAATACTTAAATACTTAAAAATACTTACATATTTAAAGACTTAATACTTAAAAAAATACTTTAAGTATACTACACATCCCCTAAATCGTCTATTCTCCAGGCTAAAGATTACCAGTTCCTCCAATTAATTCTTGTGTGGCATGATCTCAAGGACTTTTTACCATCTGTGCTCCCCTTTTCTGGATGTTTCCTAGGTTATCAAAAGTCTTTCCTAAAATGCTGTGCCCCAAACTGAACACAATACATCAGATATGGTCTGATTAGGGCAGAATTCAGCAAGTAGATCCCCTCCTTATTCTTATATCCTTCGGAATTTTGCCCAAGATTGCATTATCTTTTTTTTCTTCTTTTACTGTTATGACTTGTATTGAGGTTGTGGTTCACTAAAACCTCCAGATCCTTGTCAGGTGAAATGTGGTTTAGCCATATCTTCCCCAATTTTTTCCAGGAAGAGGTCCTAGGTTTGAATCATTGCTTTTTTACTTCCTACCTATGAGACCATGACTTAATCACATCATTTCTCTGCCTTAATTTCTTTGCCTGTAAGCTGAGACTTAGATAACTTTTATGATCACTTTGACTTTATATGCCACAATCCTTTGAATAAAGTCTCAAACTTAGTTCATGACATAGGTAGTATGTATGGATAAAAGGAAATTCACATGTGAGTAGTCCCACTTGAAGCAATCACTAAAACTATTGACCTGAGGCTGCATTGGTGAAGTGGATAGAAAGCTTCCCTAGAAACCAGGGAGACATGGGTTCAAGTCTTGCCTCTGATACATATTGGCTGTGTAACCCTGGGCAAGTCACTTAACCTTCCAGTGGTCTGCTCAACTCTAACTCAAGGGTGTCAACCTGAATTGGTAGAAGAAGCTTCCTCATTCAGGAATTCCCTAACAGTGGTGTCAAACCCAAATAGAAATGGTGGCCATTATATAAGGATCCCTATGGGCTACACATTGGCTCAATTTTAAAATGTAATATTTTCTTAATAAATGCTTATTAAGTTGAGAACCATAAAAGTTAGGAGACTGACTTGATCAAAGTCACATAGTCCTAAGCGTTGGAACCTCCAGATCCTCTGTTCTTTCCACATTGAGCTACGTGAGGACAGAGATGGCACTGAAGTCCAGGGCTCCTGGATCCCAGTCCAAGACTCTTTCTGTGGACCTACTTTATTCCCAGGGAATAACGTCAGGTGCTGAAGAGATGATGGTTCATTCATCTCTTAGGGAATTGGTGAACAATCTGTATTCAACAGTAAGAAATAAATCAGCAGATCATCTCATGATGGTGATATTTAAAGGTTTATTATTCAAAGAAACCCAAATATCCCTCTCACCCATGGACGATTCCTCTCAGCTTGGCGAAGAAGCATTCATTTAATATGAAGCTTTTACTCCTTCTAATCTTTGCTTTGGTGAAATCTGACATAGAATAGTTTAATGTTCTAAGGGCCATTATTTCTGTCAAATCTTGTGAGCTTATCATAATTCACATCTTGCTCAATGATTTTAAAGTCAAAATGCATAGGGATTGTATGATCATAGGTTTAGGCCCAGAAGGGACCTTGGAGGCCATTATATTAATCCCTTCAATTTTACAGATGAGGAATCAGACTTCTAGGAGAGACAATGTGGTTTCTTACATGGAGATTAAGAGGTAAACCCAACATTCAAGCTAAGAACCCCAACTCTAGCATCCTTTCCACTGTACCACACTGACTCTCTATATTTGGTTAAAAAAAATAGGGATTAGGAATTTTTTTATGATTCTACCCTATTTTAATTATCTGAATGGATTCATTCAGTGCTTGGTGTGAAAATATTTATTGAGGAAATGTTAACATCTTCAGAGAAATATCTGAGGCCTCAACCAATAAACAATGTCAGTATGAGAAACTGAATTACTGGTGGCTCTTCTTTTCATAGCCTGGCCCTCTAGTTAGCTACTGAGCATCATATAGAGCAGGGTTTTTAAAAAATTATTCATTTTAGGTTTCTTTTCCTCCCCTTTTATTCATTCATTCATTTATTTTTATCATTCTTTTTTAAAAAAATTGAGTTCCAAATTCTCTCCCTCCCTTCCACCCCTTCTCTACTCATTGAGAGAGCGAGCAATATGATATCAATTAGAAACAGGGGTTTTCTTAACCTTTTTTTTTTGTTTCACAGATGGCTTTGGCAATGTGAAGAAAATAATGTTTTTAAACACGTAAAATAAATAGGAAACCTAATAAAAATGAAGAGGCAATTTTTTCTCCTATCCCACTTCACAGACCCCCTTGAAATCTATCCATATACCCCCAAGGTGTCCATAGACTCCAGGTTAAGAACCACTGCCAAATACTAAAATCTTTGCAGCACTCTAAGCCTCAATTTCTTCATCTGTAATATGGGAGTAATAAATAGGACTTAACTCACTGTGTTCACCTTGCAAACCTCGACAATGTCTTCCAGCTTTAAGTTAAGGAACATATGCTTCTGTGAAACCTTAAAGCACTACATAAACATCAGCTGCCATTATCATTAATTATTATTATTTCAGCACTCAGAATGCTATTAATGGTTACTGGTTTTGTTGTTGTTTGCAAAATATGTGTTGAGGAAAAGACAAAAAAAAAAAAGAACTTGTTCCTATAAATGCATTTACTTCCGAGTTTTCCTACTGAACGTTGAAAAAAAAAAAGCCTTGTAGAGATATTTGCAAGAGATGGGGGAGAAGAAGGTGGGGGATTCTGTTACCTTTCCTGGCTTGCTGGATGTACCTGGCCAGCAAAGCCCCGAAGTTGCTCCTGGAATCCCCATTTCCATCAGCTCTCTGTAGAGGCTTCAGTTGACTGGGGGAGGCAGGAGCACGGACATGCCGGTGCTGGGCAGCCAGGCTCTGCTCCAGTTCAGAAGCCCCTGGGTTGGCATGGCTGGACTCTTTTGGCTGTTGTCCCAAGGAGCTAGCTGACAGGACAGCGAGGAGCACACAGATGCTGAGGCTATTGTACATAGCTGCAGGGGGAGAGAAGGAGTTAGGAGAGAGAAAACTGCTAAGCTGTATGAGCTGTAGAAAACAGAGGAAGACTGGCCAGAGGCTACTCTAGGTGAGAGCTAAGGTGGTGCCTGGTTATACTCTAGAGGAGCTTGTGAGAAAGTACAAATAGCATCCAAAGGACATTTTCAGGCGATGCTATGAGCAGACCCTTTACCTATAAGAGTCTTTTTATTGCTGCTTGATTGAGTCCATTGATCCTTTCATGGAATCATAGGATTTTCTAAGTGGAAGGAATCTCAGAGATAAATGAGATCATCCAGCCTTTTTTTTCTTCTTTTTTGCTTTGTTTGTTCTTTCTCCAGTGAAATATATGTCTTGAGGGAATGCAAGGAGGCAGATTAAAGTACCTAGCACAGGGGTTCTTAACCTTTTTTTGTGTATGTCACTTTAGTGAAACCCGTGTGTCCCTTCTCAAAATAATATGGATTTTTAAAAATTCATGATTGAAGGAAATACTAAACTTCAGTTAGAGGTTAGTGAAAATAAAGATGTGTTTTTTTCCCTCATCCAAGTTCATGGACCCTTTGGGAATCTATGAACCTCAGATTAAGAAATCCCAATCTAGACCAAACTCTCCATTTCCCAGATGAAGAAACTGAGATCCAGAAAGGTTCCGTTTCTTGTCAAATGTTGTACAATTAGGAACTGGTTGAAGCCAGGATTGACCTTGGAAGCAGAGGACCTGAGTTTAGTTAGATTCTAGCTGGACTGCTGAGTTACCTTTGTGACCTGGGGCAAGCCATGTGACTTCCTTGGGGCTCAGTTCCTCCTCTATAAAATGAGGAGGTTGGATTAGAAAACCTGTGAGTTCCATTTCAGTTAGAACTTCAGTTAGATCTATGATTTCATAAGCCTATGATTTCTTTGTTCAGAACTCCAGCGTTCTTTTATCTATTTCTTATTCCTGACTTTTTGATGAAGTACACATTATGAAAAGGTAGGTGGCATTTCCCCCCCCCCCCCCCCCCCCGTCCCAATAAGAAAAGCTTCTATCTTTTTCTGTCTTCAGGAGGAAACATTTACTTTGAATGGAACATCCTTAACTAGCTTCATAGTCAGGGACAGGCAATGACAGGACAGCAGAACCTTCCACGAAGGGAAGGAGAACTCTTTTTAAAAAGAAGATTGTATTCATTGGATGAGACTCAGACGAAGAGCTTATTTCCCCCTTAGTTAAGAAACAATTATGTTGGATTGAATTGTGAGGAGATATCTATTTTAAAAAGCAACCAAGAACCACAAAAAAGCCCATTTGCAACAGTTTTTACAAGCAATACACATGGTTTAGAATTGAATCATAATCATAATAAAGACCCCACGCATCTTTATGAGAAATGTGAAAGACTTAGAAGATTTCACTAGAGATGAGAACACATATGAGAAGACATTAATGGTCTACGCTGGTTTCCCTGGGCAAATAGGCAATTTTCACTTTCCTAGCACTGGAGTGCTTAAAGGTATTTCCATAGTTACTTCCAATCTTAAAATCTTTCAGCATTTTTATTTGAAAAGATTTTAAAAGCCTCCCCAACCTTGCATTATATTTCTCCAAATGATTTCAGTCCCACTTTAAAGGACAGCTTTTGCAGTATTTGATTATATCAATGAGGGAAGAGGACGCTAATACCTTGAAGGCTAAACTTTTTTTTTTTTTCAAAAACACAAGTCAATTTGACCCCTGTAAAAGCTTACTAACCATTGTCATTAAAATGCTATTTAAAATAATGTCATAATTTCTCATTTTGACTAAGCCTGAAAGAAGGAATAGTTAAAAATGCAGTTATAAAGAATAATTTTTTTAAAAATGCAGTTACAAAGAATAATTTAAAACCACAAGACACACAGGAAATAGATCACCAGAAATACACACCAAGAAAAATTCCTATGGTAGTGAATGACAATTTGATCCCTCTCATAAAAATGAGCTAATTCAGAATTTCCTACCTTTAAAATGTGATAGTAGCGTCCTATTTTGACCCAGAGAGATGTGATGAGTGTCCAGGTTAGGCAAGTTATGGTGGTTTGGAAAAGCTGTCTCTTAAATAGTCCAGCCTGCTGCCGGTAGTAGAGTCATCTATTGACACAGTGCTGACGCAGATAGGGCATCAACACATGCTCAGATAGATGCTATAGGGTCAGAACAAATTAATTTAACTCCCAGAGGAAAATGACCACAAAAAATACACACACATATAACTATATATATATATATATATATATATATATATATATCCCATTTAAGAACTGGTTAACTCCTCTCTTGCCAGAATTTACTCCCTGTCTTTTTGTTTTCTTTCTTTGTTTCTGAGTCTGCCCTTTGCCATCCTCCCCATCTCCCTTTCTCTATCAAGACCATAAATGCCAACTGGATTTCAGTGAATAAGTTTTAGAGGTGTTTTGTTGTGAATAAATAAGATCTGCAGGCATTTTTAGTGCTGAGTCTATTAAGGATGCAAGTGAATCTTTGGGAGAGAAATATGTAGCATAAGTTTCAGAAAGTTAGGCATTCCAACCACAGGATCACTCGTTGAGTTTGCTTTCAAATCTTAAGGTCATGGGTCCTACTCTACTAGTCACGTTCCTTGAGTCTTGCTAGGACTCAGTCCATGTTAGGCATGGATGACCTTGGCACTCCTGGGTGTCTAGATGGTCTCAGAGAATGAAGACCTTGTCCTAAGTTCCTTCTTCATAAAGGTGGAGATTTGAGGTCCAGGTAATAAGAATGGCTGGTGTTTACATAGTGCTTTAAGATTTGCAAAGCATATTACATATGTTAGCTGCCTAACTCACAACATTGCTGGGAGGTAGGTGCTAGTGTCACCTTTATTTTACAGATAAGCAAACTCTGGTGATTTGGCCAGGGTCACACATAGCTAGTGTCTGAGTCGAGACTAGAACTCAGGTCTTTCAGAGTCCATAGCTAATGCTCTACCCACATTGCTACCCAGCCATCTACTAGCTGTTGAAGCAATATTTTGGATGCTTACCAGGATCACTAAAAAGTGTTCTGTACACAACTATCTGTCCTGTCTTTCATTTCCACCATCTATAAAATGGGGCCAATGATATTTGTTTTTTCTTCCCTCAGAGAAATGAATTTAGTATAAAGGAGACAAAGTGCTGTTTTTGTCAGTTCCCAAGTCACCACCTTTATGGTAGCAAGGAATTTAGGGCCCTATGTTCACTAACTTAGCCTACGTAGCACACTTTCATTCATTCTTTCATGTATTTCAAGCATTTATTAAATGTCTACTTATTATGTGCCACTTACACCCTACAAGGTATTAGAAAAATCCAACCAATCCCTACCCTCAAAGAGCTGACCTTCTCTCAGAGGGAGAGAAGTGACCTGTGTCTAGGTAAAATGTGTATCTTCAGCTTGGTAATTAAATCGTTTTTAAGTACCTATTGTGTGTGTGTGTAGAGAGAGTACCAGGCTTGACACTTAAAATACTTGACCTATTGCAGCCTTATATCAGGGATGTCATGTGTCTACAAGTAAAGTCCATAAGAATACATGTGTGTATTAACAGCTTATTTGAGCAATATTAGGCATCACACCCAGTATAGATGTTAGCTACAGTGGAAAGAGCGAAGACCTGGATTTGGAATAAAAGGACCAAATGTCAAATCATGCTTTTGTCGAGAGGACAGCTATGTGGCACCATTGTTCATTGAGCATTGTGCCTGGAGTCAGGAAGACCCATCTTCCTGAGTTCAAATCCAACCTCAGACACTTATAGCTGCGTGATCTTGGGCAAGTTACTTAATCCTGTTTGCCTCAGTTTCCTCACTTGTAAAATGAGATGAAATGGAAAACCACTCCAGTATCTTTGCCAAGAAAACCCCAAATGGGGTCATGAAGAGGCAGGCATGACTGAAAAAAAAGACTGAAGAACAAAAACTTGGGTTGGCAAGTCACTTAACCTTCTCTACACTACAGTTTTCCTCAACTGAAAAACGAGGAGTTAAATTAGATCTTCTGAGGCCCCTTCCAACTCTAAATATATGACCCATATTAAGGACTTAATAAATATTTTTTTCAATTCATTCAGCTAACTCAGAGGAATCATTGTATAAGTACTGGTTTAGAGGCAGTAAATTTGTATTCATATCCTGACTTTGACACTACTCATGTGACTGGACAAATTACTTAATTTCTCTGAGCCTCAGTTTCCTCATTTGCAAAAGGAAGGAGGTTGGACTATATGGATGATAAGGTCCTGTCTAGCTCTAAATCTATGCTTCTTATATACTTATATATATTCTTATATACTTATATATGTATACATATATACATATACATACATACAGATATATATATATATATATATATTATAAATCTATACTTCAATCATCCCAAGGATTATTCTTGGCCAATGTTCCAGCTTCTAGCCTCCCTCTTACTGGTACTTGGGGGCTGCTCTTGGGTCCTGTGTATAGGATATTTTCCTTCTTCATTCAGGAACTAACTTTTCTCCCACATCTACCTAGTAAGCTTAGCAACCCCTAGTTTGCCTAGACCAGGGGTTCTCTTCTCCCTCATCAGATTGCTTTCACTTCCCAACATAAGACATTCCTGAGTCGTAGTCGGTTTCTTTACCACTGCATTAAAAGGGCTGTCGGAGGAAGGACTGAGCTGGAACGTATCTCCATAGAGTGATTTAAATATTGTGGAGGAGGATCTGGCCAAGCCTGCTGAAATTTAGTCAATAAAGTCTTGTACTAGGCTGGAGGTGTGATTTCCTGAATTAGGTACAGGAAACAGACTCTCAGAAGCAGGTATCTCAGCCTCCCTTCATAGGTGTGATAGCTAAGATCAGGGTAGCAGGTTGGGCTCCTTGAGGGGGTGTACCCATTTGTTGGTTACTGTGTGTATCGGGGGTAGGGGTGGGGGGTGGGGGGGAAAGGCAGGCTGAAGGATGACTTTGGTCCAACTCTCTCCCCTCCTCAGG